AGCACCGCCAAATTGCGTATCGTACGGTCGCGCTTCTGCCGTTTCCATCGGAATTGCACGTTCGACCGTCGAGGGAGTATCGTATTCACGCCGCGCGCGATCCGCGCGGCTCGAGAAAAATGAAGCGCTTCCCCTCAGGTGTGCGAGCGTGTGCGAGACGGTTCGCAGTTAACGCGCGCTTGTACGCAAATAACCGCGTACATCTGAATTCGCATGTAGAACACGGACGATGACAGACATTTATGCAAATGCACAGGTGTAGATTCGCCCTCCTCCGTTGATAGCCGCCCAGTCTACTAAAACGCTAAGATATATAGACGTATGTAGGTAACACGCACATAGCCAGATCCCGCAGACGCGTTGTACATTGCGAAGAGTTGCGCGTAAGACCGCCTACCGATGCGCGAGGATAATTATACGCGTAGTCAAGGATCGGTATTTAGTCCAACCACTGCGTATATATATATATATAATATGTACAGCGTATATACATGCGGGAGTATATATTGTACGGGCATTTGTAGTGACTATGTACCATGGCATTTACACGTATAAGGGAATTACAATTATCACGTCTATCCGTATCCGCCCGATGCACATCCGTACACGTGTATTTCGCGCGATAAGCAGCTATATACATGCACATAGCGTACGCATGTACAAGGTAGTTCAGATCTATTGCCCTCTCCCCATCTCTCTCCCCCTTGAGATTTGACAGATCAATCGAGATACTGTATAGTTCGGAGAGAGAAAAAAGAGAAAACATGAAATGATGTAAAAACAGAAATGTGGATGACACAGTGTACATCTTAAAAGAACTCCTCTCAAACATTTCGATCTATGATTATATCATCTTCGGTATTAATCAGATTGATGTAAAAATAATGCAGAAATGCAAATTCGAAATTATAATTATAACGAATCAGGCACACAAATGTGAAATAGTCGAGATATCTGCGCTATGGCGCGCTGAATTATTCGAGTCCTTTAAATTTTTTACTTTCGAGATATTTAACGCTGGGAATTAAGTAGCTGTGACACAGTATAGAAATTTATGGTTGCAGAATGAATCGATTAGCAAGCGGTTTTCCCAATTGAGTCGGGAGATTCACGAGCAAGCTGCGCGCGAGGTTCTCGAACACCCTGTGTATACATATAATTAAGTGGAGAATACGCGCATAGAAATGCGAGGCACGCGAAGGCACGTCACGCGTATTTGCAATGCGTACAAGTGCGCACGCATCGGCGCATTCGAGCGCGCGCGTTCAATGCACGCGGGCGAAGGGCACGTGAAGGAAAATGCAACGAAAATTTGCACGCACACACTGCGTGCGTGCGTGCGTGCGTGTGTGTGTGTGTGTGTGTGTTGGCGCCGCGCGAGCCTCAGACCGGATCGTTGGATTTACCCGAGGAAATAGACATACAGCGCGCACACACGAACGTGTGTACGCGTGTGCGTGGTGGCTGAGAGGTCGCGTATCCCGGTAGGACGCATAGAGATATGCCCGTTGGTAGGAGAACTACTCGGCCGTCGGTCGCGCATAATTAGCCTAAATCACGGCGGCGTCCCGCCGAGAGAGCTCCTGGACGCGACATCTGCATAGCACGTGTCTCGTTACCGCGATGCTTATAAGGGTTCGTAAAGAGGGAGACGGAGAGCGAGCGAGAGCGAGCGAGAGATAGTTTAGCAGATCCTCTCGCGTCTACAGGTATCGCAAAGTGAGGAAGGGCGCGCTTCGGCGAGCATACTAATGGGCCGCTGACACGGGGCGCGCGACGCTTTCCGGGCCAAGTGTCAAAGATCCGACACTTCCGGCTAACAATAAGATATCGCCGGTCCGCGCGCGCGTCCGATCGACCAAACTCCGCCGAAAGTCCTCAACTCGCGTGGAACTCGCGAGACAAACAGAACGATTTTCCTCTGGATTTGCATGTGACTGCGTGTGTTACAGGATCGTCGGTTCGGGAATCTATTTTCCTTTCGGTGTCGGAATTCGCAACAAATGAAAGCGCGAAAAAGGCAAAATGTGAACATGCGCAGCTCGAAACAGACGTGCCCATTTAGAAAAATCGATAATTAAACCGAGCTCCGAATACCAATACGCGAGCTCTTGCAATTAAGCGTCGGTTAATGATGTGACCACCGTTAACGAGTAATTCGCAGGAGCCGATAAACCGACAAGGTCCATAAACTAGACTACTGCTCCTTAGAGACACCAATCAATTTATTACATGTGACAATATATATGCGCAATATTAATAAATTCAATTTTTATTTTTAATATCTATACTACTTTGACATCGAATCTTTAATTACGTTGTTCCAATCGATCGATGTGCCGCGGTCACTGAACCGATTTAACTTATTTCCAATGCGTTTCGACTCACCGGCGCCGGCAGTAACATGCGCGCTTAACTGATATATACATATTTATAACAAATTAAATGCGATATCAAGTTAAACAAATAATTGTATAATTTATCATTGTGCAATTCCTCTCTACGTCATTTATACGGTTTCGATTAATATCCATTAACTCTTTCGCATCTCGTACTTCCGGCAAAACGTGCGTTTGCGCCTGCGATTATTCTCCTTATCTGCGGAATCTCCTGGCTTAATCATCGCCACGCGACGCTAAAAATAATCGGACGCGAGTCTTATCTCGTGTCACGTATTCCTATAATCAAATAGCTGCCTTTTACATAAAAAGGGAAGTGAAATGTTTTATCAACTGTCTAGCACGTTTTTACCGATCACTATCTCAAGTTGGACGGATTTTCGACTTCTATCAAGCATAAAAAATAGCGTGCACAGTATATTTTAGATGAAATCCGCAGATAACACGTAAGATATTTTATATACGCATATCTATCGAGTGAGATGAAGAACGAAGATGGCATGAAAGGACCAAACGTATGAGAGGAAAATTTTTTTTCTACACGATGCTGCGTAGATGGAAGCGCATGCTTAATGCGAATACGAGCCGTCATTATTAGCATACTGCACAAGAGCCATCGCGCTGTCACAGTCGATACGCTCAACGATAGCAGCGCGCGTACGTGCCTACGTTGCGACGCACACGCACACAACGCTCGAGAAATTGCATTGTGAC